CAATGTGCCAACAGTTGATGGAGAGTTAAGTTGACTCATAAGGCGCTTCAGATTTTGAATTTCTTCTGTAGAAAAGGCTCTAATGGATGGTGAACCAGGTGTTTTTCTAGCTTCAACAAAATTTGCTCGAGCTCTTGTGGTTCCACATCTTCTTCCTCCCCGACCTATAATTGGTTTTCCATGCAACTTTTAACAAGTTTTTGTAGTGTGTCTTGGCTTGCCACAATAGTCACATTTCCATATATCTCTGGATTGATCAAACTAAGCAACTAATTCAGCTTTCTCAACTGGTGCAATGTGAAGTATGACATTTCTTCTACTCTTTTCTTGTTGAACATAAGCATAAGTTTATTCTAATGAAGGAAAAAGATCTTTATCTAGCTCTTGAACCCGTATTTGATCATATTCGGTGTTCAAATCAGGTAAAAAATTATAAATTCGCTCTTTTTCTATCAATTTCTGAAATTTGATTGTATTTGCAGGGCACTCTGCTTGAAAATCTTGATAGTAATTTAACTCCTGTCATAATCCATTTAGTTCAAAAAAATATTGAGAAATAGTCATCTCTCTTTACTTTATACCATGAATTTTATTTCGGAGTTCATAAATCTAGGCGTCATTACCCATCTGTGAATATGTAAGAGATACTGCATTTCATATTTTTTCGGCAGTGTTAAGTAACAGATATGTTCTGACAATATAGAGTTGCATGGAATTTATGAGGTATGACATTACCAATGAGCTCTCAGAGTCCCATCTATTATATTCTAAACTACTAACATATGGTTTTTTTTCATCTCATTAATAATGTAACCCTGCAATCGTTTAGATTTGGTGAACAATAAATAAGATTTCGACCAAACAAGATAACTAGTTTCATCAAGTTTTACCAGACTGATTTGTAATGAAGGATTATTAAAGCTAGCAACACTCACCTTTTTTGTTTTTGTCATTTTAGAATGCTAAAAATAAGAAGAAAAAATACCCATTAATGAAAAATGGACCTCCTATCTGCACCAAGGAGGCAAAAAAACGTAACTAGATATGGTTCGGCTCTAAACGACTCGGGTTTAGTTCTAAAACGACTCAGACTCGGCTCTAGAACAGCTCAGACTCAGCTCTAAAACGGCTCAAAGTCGGCTTGGCTCGTTTTCTCCGGACAGATCTCTGAACGTGCGTACAAAAAGTTAATGGTGTGGCCTTTTATACCTGGATCTATTGATGTGCGACTGTAATTTTTTACTAGCGTTTCTGGATGTGCAGCTGCACCATTTTACTGGCACTTAAAGATGTGAAACTGCAATTTTTTACCAATCCTTATGGTTGTGCAGTTGTATATTATTACCAGCGCTTTCGAAGGTGCGGCTGCACTTTTTACCGGCGCTTGCGAATGTGCGGCTTCAGTTTTTACCGGCGCCTGCGAATGTGCGGCTTCAGTTTTTACCGGCGTCTGCGAATGTACGGCTGCAGCTTTTTACCGGCGCTCTGACATCATGAAGTTTTTAGAGAAAATAAATTTTTAATTTTTTATTCTTTGTTTTGTTTACATTTAGAAGATATATATAAAGTAGTTATCTTTATTCTATTTGAACTCTAATTATAGGATATAATTATACTATTAGAACTATAAATAATATAGTATACTACTTAACATAAAATGCTTATCAACAATATCAAATCTCAATAATCAAATCAATACTCAATATCTGTATAACATGAATAGTTTCTCTAGTTAAATTAGGATATCGTATTTGTAGGTGTTAGAATGCAATTAAAATAGGAATTCTTTAGGTCATCTAGGGAATCTAAACATATAATAGAGAATACCTAAATAACATTCTAAATAAATAGGAAATATGTTTATAAGAAAAAATAAATAGGAAATATAATAATAATAAGCCTATGGGTAGTAGCTTCTAAATAAGCTAAATACTTCTAATAATGCATAATATTGTAATTACAGAAATATCCCCATAATATTAAGATATGTTAATTCTAGGGTCCTGTTCTGCGTCAAACATACAGTTAAATAATGGAGCCAGCGAGCTGGGCTCAAATAAATGGAATTTAGTTTACCATTTTATTTAACATTTGGTTTTGAATGATAACTATCTGTAGTTTCATAGTTTTGACGATTGGCATTCAATTTTATATCTACTCCATTGTCTATAAGCTCATTTCTGGCCTTGCAGCTGCTATTGAAAAGGATTTGTGGGCCACTGGAACTGTGAATGAGGAATATTTGAAAGCTCTAAATGCTCTATTTAGTAATTTCCCACGTTTAAGAGCCACAGAGCCTGCAACACTTAGCATACCCCACCTGGTTACTTCCCTCAAGACGGGCTCAGAGGCAACTCAAGAGGCTGCCTTGGATGCACTTTTTCTTCTCAGACAAGCTTGGTCAGCGTGCCCAGCTGAAGTTTCCAAGGCTCAATCAGTTGCTGCTGCTGATGCCATCCCCTTGCTGCAATACCTAATCCAGTCTGGTCCACCCCGATTCCAGGAGAAGGCAGAGTTTCTGCTGCAGTGTTTGCCAGGGACACTGATGGTGATAATTAAGCGTGGCAACAATATGAAACAATCAGTTGGAAACCCTAGTGTTTATTGCAAGCTTACACTTGGAAACACTCCACCGAGGCAAACCAAGGTTTGATTCTTTATATACTCTCTATCTGTAGGTGTATCTCTCCCCTATTTTGTTTAAAGTGTTTTCCATTATTCATTTGTTTATTGATTTGATTCAGTAATCACTTTCTTACAGGAAGTTGACCACAAGCCTTTAATTCTTTAGATCATATGAACCATCAAATAACTGTTACTGTCTTTTGAGAATTGAATGCTATATAATTTTAGGAAGTTTAACTCATTTGCTGATGGACTGCTGACCTCAAATAGAGGCCTTTTTTTAACGGTGCACTCATAATTTGTTATTCTTTGTCTGGTTAAGAGACCAAAATTAAGATTTTCTTTTTCATTTTACAAAGAACTTGGCCTGTTTAAGAAATTAACAATTACCTTTTCCTTTCTTTTTTTAGAAAAAAATTTGATTAGGACTTCATGATCACATTGGACTAAATTTTGTCTTGTACAGTTATGTTTTTACTGTGATTGTGGCAAAGATCTTCTCCGTCATGGATATTGGAATTAATTATTGTGAACTGAGAAGATATTGTTCAAGTAATTCTTCAAAATTAACTCTATATCATAGTAAAAGTTGGCTGTTAGCTAATCTTCTATTACAAAAATCGATGACTGGTACTTGATCCATCACCCAGTGACGGGCATTTTGAATTGGGTTAAGTAATCCCACCATTAGAAGATTATTTCTCTGAGGATATTTTATGAAGTATTGTTCTTCCTTTCTGGTGACTGTGGACTAAATGACAGGGAAATATTAGAAAATGGATGGATGTTGCTTGTTTGATTTAGGTTGGATTTGTGGATCTATCTTCCAAAGGAAAGTTGATGAAAAGAAACAAAAATCTGTATTTTCCTTTGTTTAGGCTATGTCTGAGATGAATTCAAAATTTATGTGGAATTTGTTTGCAAATTTACATTTATTTGAAGATGATGAAACTCTTACGTAAAATGATATTAAGTTCATATAGTACTCTATGTGGAATTCCATATGAGCTCAATTTTTATCATTTCCTAAGAGAGAGTGTTTGTGATTTGCTTATTTTATGTTTATAAGCAATTTTAATCACTTTGTTGTAAGTGGTAACATGAATAACAGGATGCTTATTAGGTTCTTAAATGTGATTCTAAGAAGGTAAAAAGAATAAGGATCTCATTCTTAATTTTTTAGGTTCTTATTCTTTTATACCTACTCAAATGAAAATTATAAATAACTTAAAATGTCCTACTGTGCTTTATAGTAAGTGTGGCTTACTTATTGCATCTGTTCATATAAATTCTATATTGTTCCAAATGTAGCTTAGCTTTTCTTTTGCATCTGTTCATTTGTGATAGTATTTAGTGATTACATCAACAGATAGGAAACTAAGGTTTCCTTGTTGCAAGTCCATGCATAGAAATTCTCACTGTTTGTGTATAGTTATGGGTCGATTTACCATTTTCTTGGTTTTTATTCTCCGTGAAATTGTGGATGGATGTGCTTACTTTTTAAACCTTCAGGTTGTATCAACTGGCCCTAATCCAGAGTGGGATGAGAGCTTTGCATGGTCATTTGAGAGTCCTCCAAAAGGCCAGAAGCTTCATATCTCATGCAAGAATAAGAGTAAAATGGGAAAGGTAAACTCAAAAAGTGAATATGTGGTCTAGAATGAGGAAAACAATAAGTTGCTATTATCTTTTCTCATTATTTATCCTTTTATCGCATTGTAATGAAGTTGGTGTCACGTGATTTGCACTTTTGTAGAGTTCTTTTGGAAAAGTAACCATCCAGATCGATCGGGTGGTGATGCTGGGAGCTGTTGCTGGCGAATACACTCTCTTGCCTGAGAGCAAAAGTGGGCCCTCACGGAATTTGGAAATAGAATTCCAATGGTCTAACAAGTAACAAAACCACAACACAAGTAATTATTTTTTTGCTTTGCAAATTGAATTGAAGAGGGGAAATATGTTGAAATAGATATCTTCATTTTGGGTTATTTTGTCATGTCTGTATATAGCCTGCCGGGGTTTTCGATTTTTGTAGTGCTTGTCCACATTCATAAAGGTAGTCATTTTATTCATTTGTAACCTAATCTTTGCACTCATGATGAAGAACCAGATGGCAGAAGGTATTTTTACTTATGTAATTCATGTATTGATTTTTGTGTGTCTACGATCTGGAGGAAAAAATAAAAATATTGTCTGTTTAGACATATTTTTAAGACTAAATTGCATAGGTATAAATAATTTAATTTCAGTTTTTATTTTTATTTTTCTGCAAGATAATAACTTATTTCATTACTTACATTATATTATTGTATCTTATCCTCAAAAACAATTACAGTGTTTGATTTCTCTGAAATGTTGGTGTTCTCATTATCATTTGTAAGCTATATGCATTACATAATTCCAGAAAAGGATATGCTGATCTCATCATAAGAAACCTGGTTTTTAGTATCTTTACTCAATCTCTTCATAGTCTACTGTTAAATAAGGTCACGTTTGTGAAAATTATTGTTATTTCAGATCAAGTGATTGAAAGAGAATGAATAACTCTCTCTAATTTCTTATATATAATATGTAGATGTCTTCATGGCATCGTTTTGATTTCACTATCTCTATAGCACCACATGGCAAAGTACCATTTTCATGACTCATTTTCAAAACTTATTGCGAATTCAAGGAGGGAAGTATTTGCTTTTCATATCCAACACAAGGTACTTTTTGTTCTTTCACTCATTTGAGATGATTTCAAGTTATAGCCAATATTCCATAGTTATCTAAACCAACTATAATCTATAATATCAAAATCATTAATCTCTCTTAATCCATGATCTTGCAAACTCATCCTCAGATTCCAAAATTATATGCATGTATGTATATATATATATACAGTTATTTGATAAATTTTGAAATCCAAGCATTCAGTTGAGGCTACCCAACCTACATGGTGCATTTCTTATAAATACGTCACGAAGATAATTGTACCCGAGAATATTATTTGAGAATTGCTTTCGACATAATCAATCTTGATTTGTAATTATCATCTTAGGTATGATATAGCATATTTATGAAGTTAGGTGTGCAACCAAACATTATATTCTGCAAATGATAATTGACAATAATAAGTAATGCACAGACTAAATTTTTACTTACCAATTTGAAATGCGGGATTAAAAATCAAAAGGTCTTCAAAGCAATTATAATAAATTCTTGATCTACCATCTCTAAAAAAAAATCATCTTTAATGAATCTGAAAAATAAAAATGACAAATATATTATTTAACCTTTGAACTATATTCAATATTATAGTTTAATAATAAATAATATAATTAGTTTTCAAGATTTTTATTGTTGTTTCAAAAGCATAGTTTTATCAAAATGTCAACAGTTGGCTCAGGACCCAAACCCAAACTTAACTGGGCCTAGGGTCATACCCTTACATACCCAACCACTGTATATGGTATGTCATGAGGACTTTTTGGTCATTTCACATCCAAATCTCTGGCTTTTAGATTCCACCCCTCATCCCTCTCGATTGTCGCACGGTCAGACGCTAACACCCTGAGCAAAACCCTAAATTTCATTTTTCTTTTAAAATTCCACAACATAATCCAATACCTACATCTCCCATTTTCGCCTTTCCATTTTACTCATATTATCATCCCTTTTCCGCTTTTATATGTTCTAGACAGCACACCCTTTTTTTCTTGTTTCTTCTTTCCTTTTGTTTTCAGGGAACAGAGACGAGTCCTCGCGGAGAGATTTCTTTTGCTGTTTTCTTTGTTTCGGGAGCTATATAGCTTCCTTATTTTACGTGGGTTTATCCATCTTTTGCTTTGTCTTTTCTCTCTAATGGTGGTTTTTCTGTTGTCAACTTAGGGTTTCTTATATACCTATTCACTTCTTTCCATCAAAGGAAGTTTGCACTTTTGAATTCTCTCGCGGTCCTGTACGAAGCCAAAATTCCTGTGAGTAAATTCTTAAATTTCGCCATGAGTAGGTTTCATTACAATTTTTGCTTGCATTTGTTGCTCTGGATTTGAGGTATAGCTTTGCACGTACCCGCCATCGCCGCATTTCTATCTTTTAGGCCATATTTACCTTAATGGGGTGTGAACGTTCCTCTTGCTCTTTCGTACCTTAATCTTAGAGCGTAGGTTGGTTTTTGGGCTTTGATTTGTGCAGATTGGTATTTTTATACATTGGAGGTATCCTGTATCCTGTTATAATTGTTATCTACTTTTTCTCCAGGAATTTCTTAGTAAGTACTTATGTGGCCGTCATGTTTTGCTTCAGGGCTGTAGCATAAGCGTTCGCATAACATCTCTATTAGATAGATAGAACACCAGAGTTTCTGCATGTTGTCATAAGATTAGCGGCTGCTATACTTAGATCTCAATTATTTAATTTGATTTCTTGGTTTTGAGGTTATCTTATTATATTTTCGTGCATTAGATCCAATTCTTCTTCTGAAGTATTCTGTTTTGTTTGGCGGTTTTCCTTTATTTTAATTCTTGATGTATGCATTTGAGGAAGTTAACATCTTTGATCTTCATTGCATGGGATACTGCTTATGAATATTCTTTTATGAATTGATATATTTATTTTGGCTTGCATACATACCAAGTGCCGTACTTGTGATGTAACTTTTTATGGTCTTTTCACTTGAATCGTGGTTGCATTCTTGTTTATGGTGTATACTTGGCAGTAGATTATGCGTGTTAGCTAAAATGTTGTCTCCTTTAGGAATTTCTTCTATTCGTTCAGAACATTTCACATATAATGTTTTGATCAGGTTTTGAAGGTGAGTTTTTAATTGGCAAAGATGTCATCCCCTTATCCAGTTCTCGACAATCGACCAATTGATCAGTGGAAGGTTACAGAGTTGAAAGAAGAGCTTAAGAGGCGGAAGTTGACAACCAAGGGCTTAAAGGATGATTTGATCAAACGTTTGGATGAAGCTCTTCGTATTGAAAGGGAAAATTCTGAAAAGGAGCTTGCTGAAAGGGAACGTGCTGAAAAGGAAATTGCCGAGAGAGAAATTGCCGAAAAGGAAATTGCCGAGAGGGAAATTGCCGAAAAGGAACTCTCTGAAAGAGAGAATGCTGAAATGGAGAATGCTCAAATGGGTAATGCTGAAAATAAGAAACTTGAAGTGGAGAATGCCGAAAGGGAAAAATCTGGAAAGGGAACTCCCAAAAGAAAAAATGCTGATAAAGCAGACAATGGTTTTAGTACTGATCCTCAACCTGTCACTGGAGTAAAAGATACAGAGACAGTTATCATTGCTGATGAAACAGTAAAGGAAGTGAGGCTTGGCAGTAACAAAAATAAGAGGGTAGATGATGATAGACTTCAGGTTGACATCAATGATCCTGTGAATTGTTCAGCCGAGGAGAAATGTGAAGAAAGAGACATGATAGGTGATGTCAATACTGCTAGGATGGAAGGGGTATCAGATGTTCAGGCAGCTCATGTGGAGACTGGCATTGTGATTGTGGAAAGTGTGTCTTCTGAAGTGGCTTGTGGACAAGATATGCAGAATTCTGGAGCCATGGACGAGAAGGGTAATTCAAGTATTCAGCAGGAAAATAAGGATTCAAAACCTAAGCTGGAGACTGGTAGCTTAACGGCTCAGCTAACAGATGACGTGCACGAGACTTCTGCTTCAAGCAACCAGGTATCTGAGGTCAGCCCTGTTTTAGGGTTTCAAGTAAAATCTGATTCTATTTCTACTGATTCTGTGTCAATTAACAAAAAGATTGAACTAAAGGATAATATAATTGCTGATAATGTTAAAATAGAACAAGATGTTGTTAGGCCGGAGATGGTGCAACCATCATCCAGCAGTGTTGTCCCAGTCAGTGGTGAATTGCATCCAATGGATGTTGAAGAGCCACTTGAGAAGAAGGCATCTGTTGAAGAAAAAGATGATGAAAATATTACAAATGCAGACGCATCCAAGAAAAATGACAGTGCAGATATAGGGTATTCCGAAAAATTGAATTTAGATAGAAGTTCTGGTGATGACTCGATGGAGGATGATGTTTTGGAGAGTAAGCAAATTGATTCTAAATATAATTCTGATGAAGTGGGAAATAGGAGCGAGAAAAGTAAAATGCTTGTTGTAAAGGATGAAAGTCCTGTTGATGTTGTAGGAGATGATTTATCTACAGCAAAAACTGTCATGCCTGATGAGAATAAGACTGTTCCATCTGTACCTGCTGAAAAGAGAAAGTTACATGGTAAGCATTGTCTGTGGAGATTTTTTTATTTATTAATTGTTTCTTCTAGAGTGTCGATGTTCTCTCTCTGTGGCTAATATCTGTCTTTTCCTCTATGCAATTTTATGTTATTTTTAAGGATTTCTGGTTTGAGTGAATATTTCGTAAATAATTATGTTTGTCCTTACTTGATATTTGCAAATGGAGCCTGCTTGTGGCAATTTTGTCCATATCAAATGTAGGTGTTGTGAGGTCAAATGCTGTCTAATTGTGAATATGGCATTCAATTGCCTTGTGCTCTCTTTCTATAATGAGTTTGTTTCTCCTAACTCGCACTTGCGTGAGTACTAATAGGTGTGTAGGTTTAAAGAAGCTTGGTCAAAATTGATTCAGCCCAATAAGGTGAGTAGTGTAGGTGGGTTGCTGAACTAAAAGAATGTTAATTAGTATTGGAAGTACCTTTTGTTCTCTGTAGTATGTCTGATTCTGGTCCTTTGTTGTTTAATTCTTAAAGGTCTAGCTGTCTTGTTGTAAGTACTAATTGTTATATGAATGGAGTCTAGGTTTTTCCAGTATGAGTTTGGAACTGGGATAAGTTGAAACTTGGTTTTTAGAAAAAATATTCACATTCCTGAATGAATAAGTGTGCGACATGCACAAGGTATTCGGAATGGTACAACACTTCCAGCACATCTTTTTCTTTTATGCTTTTCTATACTTCATTGATGTTTAAACATAATTTTTCTCCTTTTTGAGAAGCAATATAATTTACTTCGTAGAAAGAAATATGCTCAATGTTTTAGTATTTAACGTGCTAAAGTCTTGTTCTTTTAAAAGCCGCTTATAAGCATAGCCAAACACTACTTTAACACTTTATTTTTTAATTTAAAAAAAAAAAACATGTTAAAGTGGTGTTTGGCTATGCTTATAAGCAGCTTTTAAAGAACTATGTTCAAATCTACTGTTAGGTGATAGAATAAACGGGCTTATTGACTGCTAATTGGAAAATTAAATTTTTTCCCTGACCTTTTGTATATTGTCTTAGAATGCATATTTTGTTAACAAATTTAGTTTCTCCTTTAGCATCATATTTATTTTTTGTGAAAAAGGTCCTAAATATTTTCTTTTATAACAGGTATCTCAATCCATTATATATCAGCTTAATTTCTAAATCAGTGTCTACAGGCTCTAAGCTTATTAAAGCATCTACTAATTAAACACATTTCTTTTAGTAATTTAAAACATATTGTTTGCTAGTCCATATGATACTTACCTGTGATCCATAAAATTGGATTTTTTTCTTGCCCATTCGTGCTTTCAGATGGTGCACAGATGTTCTTGTACACCAACTTGGAAAAATAGTTTGTTACAACTTAAGTTCACCTTCAACTCCAATCTTACTAGATGTTAAATTGGCTTAAGCTTGCAAGTTTATCAAATTTTCTTTCCATACCTGTATCTTCCTGTAAGGGATGGTCATTTCATGTTTAGAAGACTCATATTTGTAATTTGATGAAAGAGTTGGTTTTACTTTTTGCTCTTGGAATTGAGAGGACTCAGGGGTGATCTTTTTGCACTATGGGGTCACATTGTCTGGGAACTTCTAATTTCTTGGACTACAGTTGTATCTTTTATGGTAGAAGTAATAAGACTTTTGATTAAGCTGGTCAGAGAATCTATAGTCTCTGTTTGGCTGATATTTAGCTTAAGAAGTCCAGTAGAGAAGCACAACAAATGGAATCTTGTTTTTCTCTTTTAATTTTCATTACGAGGGTTAAGGTTATAGGAAATTGCAGCTTAAGGACAAAGCTTTTAATTGGGCAATAGTATATCAGCTAGGACACTCTCATTTTTATTCACAATTTCTGTTCCATGTTAGATCTGTCTCCGAGTTTGCTCTGCTGTTTATGCTAAAGTTTTTTGAAAGGTTAATATTCCTGAAATTTTTTGCAATAAATTCAATACTTGATTGTGTTTGTTGCTTACAGATTAGAAATTAGCTATATTTCTGTCTGATTGGTTGTCTTTGCAGATCAAGAAACAGTTGGAAATAATGAGCCTTTAAAGAGGCAACGCAGATGGAACTCAGAGAACATAAAAGTGCCAGAACTGCACGGGGCTGATGTCACGCCTACTATCACGCCTAAGGGCAACTTTCAGTCAACAAGTCTGAAACGGAGCTTTTCTAAATTGGACTCTTCGGCTAATGAAGACGCTCCCAAAGAACGTGTTGGTGAGTTACCCTTCCTTTGTGGATGTTGAGAATTTAACCTATAATTGATTTAAAAGCTGAGAGTTGCCACTTCTGTTTGTTGTTTGCCAGTTCCAATATCGCAAAAAACTCCTACGAATTCCCTCAGGATTGATCGTTTCTTGCGGCCTTTTACACTAAAAGCTGTGCAAGAACTTTTGGGAAAAACTGGGACTGCTACCAGTTTCTGGATGGACCACATAAAGACTCATTGCTATGTCACTGTAAGACTTCTTCTCTCACTTCACTTGGTGAATCAACTCCATCTTGCCTATGAGGGTGCGGGTTGGTTCCAGTTGGATGTCTTAAAAATCTTAACTATAACTGAAGTAATTGGGTTGGACAAAATCGGGAACTGAATCAACCAGATAGATTATTAAGCAATGCTTGTGTTGGGCCTTTATTGTCAAATATAATTTGCAGATTTCTCAAATAAATTTGATGGGCTAATACCAAGATGATAAGTTTCATTATTGGGAAAAATGAGAAAGCAGTATTTCTGGTTGTGTTTCGTTTTTCTATACAGGATATGGAGGGCACCAAAAAGACTTTAATATTTTTTC